TTCGTTTAATTTTTAGTTAAATTATATAATTATGGGGGATCATCTAAGGGGTCTTGACCTGTCTGGCGACTATTTAACCTTATTGAGCCATATTTTAATTTATGGCATCATTCTTTGTCATTCTTCTGCATATTGTTTCCTTACATTGTATATCCACAATTCATAGCCATTATGTCAACATTGTGCATCATCGTTTTACACAATGTTAGCATTTGGATTTTTCTCTCTTATCCAGATCCTTTCTTTTTTCCTTTTATCAGGTATCGACTGGTTAGACTACAAAAAGCAGTTAAAGAGAGCAGAACAATGGAATGTGGAAGTGTACTAGTTTATGTTCTTGTACAAATATCACCGAGCATTATGATATTCTCTGCTGATGTAGATTGGTAACTTAAAAAAAAAAAAAATAAGTTTCTTCTTCTTTCACCTTTAGTCCCTCGGGTTATTAAAAGTTTGAGGGCATATTTGAGTTAAAAAGTATCGAAACAAAATTATACCCTCCATATAGCTTCCTTGTTTACTTTGATACTTATTGCTTCATTGTTCTCCTTCTTTTGTGTCTTTTCACTATATTGTAATACCATTAGTAGTAGTAGTATAATTGAAGTTATTTAGACTTCTGCTACATGGGTTCCTGACAAAATGGCATGCCAAATGAAGGCCTGCGGGCCAATACTTGCACTACTAATTGCACAAATATATTAAGAACAATAGTGGCATGTCATTTGTATCGAATTTGATTTGCCAGGTACGAAGATTCTGCATATAAGAAACTTGAGCTTTGAATTCTCCACGCAGGGTTAAGTATGATACAGCTGTAACAAATAACCAAACTAACCGAGTTCTTATGATATTCTTCTACAACTCAATGCTACAATCACTTGCAAAAGCACTGGAGGTAAGGTAACGCGCTACCTCTGAAGATTCTACGAATTTAGGGTCATTTTTTACGAGAATTCTGTCAGAGAATTTTTAGATATTTTTCTTTCACTCTAAAAATACAAGCTCGATGAACAGTATAAATATAACGAAGAAGATGAGCATGCAAAGCTTGTGAGCTGACGGCTAATCCTAAGCTTCCACGTAGCAACCACTAATAAAAGGAAAATAAAATGGAAACGACAAAGACGCACCAACAATTGTATTAGTGAAATACATGGCTTTGCTAAAGACTAATAATAAAAAGGAAACACGCCAATTGTATTAGTGAAATACATGGCTTTGCTAAAGACTAATAATAAAAAGGAAACACGCGAAAGAAATGAAAGGGCATTCGACTTGTCTTCAGAAAGCTTTCTCCACTATGTTGCATGCAAGACTCGACTTCAGAAAGGGCTTCAAGTGGGAATGTACATACCCAACTTGACAAGAAACACTTGTAAATCAGGATCTCCCAATACCTTAGTAAACATGTCAGTTGGTTGAAAAGTAGTGGAGATATGCTTGGGCAAAATGAAACCATCTATGTATTTATTGCACACCACATGACAATCTATGTCCAAATGCTTGGTCTTCTTGTGAAAACAGTGTTTGTCGTGATGTGAATAGCAGTCTTGTTATCAAACCATATGGGAACTGGCTGAGAAAGCCGAATACCCCAATCATGAGTAAGATAAGAAATCTATTGAAATTCACAAATCGTTGATGCCATGTATCTATATTTAGCTTCGGTCAAGGACCGAAAGTCGTCTTCTATTTCTTAGTTTTCCATGAAATCGAAGTACCTCCTAGGAAAATGCAACAGTTGGTTAATGAGTTGTTGGTCAAGGTGCAGCCTCCCCAATCTGAGTCACAGAAAGCATCCAAGTGTGGAGATGGTTGTAGTGTGTAGTGTAGACCCAACTAAGGACAACCTTTAAGATATCTAACCACATGAAGAGTTCCTGTCTAGTAAGCCTATGTAGGTTCTTGGACAAATTAACAAAGATGTTGTATGGCATAAGAAACATTAGCCTGATAAGATTGAGATAAAGTAGATGGCCAATTAACCTTCTGCAGGTCTCAAGATCATGAAAGGCATCTGATTCTTGGCTTGAGTTACTAAAACCTTGTGGCAAATGTGTTACTACACTTTTGGAGTCATGCAGCCCAAGATCATTAATGATCTCAACAATGTATTTTCTTTGATTCAAAAAGGTGCCTTATGGATCCCTGCAGATTTCTAAGCCCAATAAATAATTAGCATGACCCAAAACCTTGATGAACAAGTTATGTAAATAGGAATTCAAATGGTTAATATCATTCAGAGATTTTCAAACAATGAGAACATCATCAATGTATATTAGAAGTTCCAAAAATTGATCATTTATCATCTTGATGAAGACACAATGATCATGAGTAGATTGGGCAAAACCATAAGCCAAGAGTTTGTTTGAAAACTCAATATTCCATTGCCTCAAGGCTTGCTTCAAGCCATACAAGCTCCTCTTGAGCAGACACACTTCTCCCATTTTTTGCTTTCTCATAACCCTTAGGGGGCAACATGTAAACTTTTTCCTCCGAAAAATCATGCAAAAATGTATACTTTATGTCTTCATGGTGCATCCAAATTGTATAGTGTGGCCAAGGCAATGATAAGTCTTATGTCACCAATGTGGCAGGAAGAGAAAAGCTATAAAAAACTCCACCCCTTCCTTTTGCAAGTAACACTTGGCCACTAATATGGCCTTAAACTTGTTTATACTTCCATTTGGGCGTCTTTTGATTTTGTACACCTATTTTGATCCTACAGCCTTCTTCTCAACTGGTAGTTTTGTAAGTTCTCATGTTTCATTGGTTTTTAATGTTTTTAATTCTTTTCTCATAGCATCAATCCACATGTCATCTTTGACTGTATGCTTATAAAACAAAGGTTCTTAACTCTCATTGTCTATCTCAGCCAAGAATAATTTCAAATCTAAATATTTGGTAACCTCAGTAGTGGAGTTACCATCATAGTCAATGTTGATCAACGGATTTGATCAACCTAAATTTTGAAATTTGTTACAAATATTGGAGATTAAGGTAAAGAGTCTGGGTTCAAACAAAGAGTATGTAAGGAACATATTTACTCCAACCGCTTGAGGTTGGGTTCCATCTTATGATGTATTCAATCATAGAATATCTTATATCATCTTTTTTTTTTCCCAAAAGAATAGGGATGTTATAACTGAAACCGCGAATAAAAGTTCAAATACAACGTGGCAAATAACCAACTCACCCACTAAAAGAAAATGAGAGGACACGCACAAAGACGACCTAGAGACACAAACAACAAACCGTAACTAAGGTATGATCTACCCATGACCTTAGTCTACTAACAAAACTCTAAAGAGCACAACCAACTAATGCCCAAATGTAAGCCCGCTCTACTTCTACGTTGAAATCATCAGAGTTTGAGAAATGAATCGAACTTTTCAAAAATAATTTAACTTCTTAAAACATGATTTGAAGGTACTTATTGAACATGCATCTGGCTTTTACTATCATATATGCTCTTAATTATTTCAGGATATCTGATCCCGACATAAAACATGTTCAATTCATTAGGACCTAGCAGAGCGATCGTTACTAGTCTGATAAGTGAATTGAAAAACTGAAACTGGAATCCAAACAATGTTCAAAATATCTGATTATAACATGTTCGAAAAATGAACTGTTCAATAGCAGAAGCAATAAATAAACTGCATATGACCACCACTAGCCCCTCTGGAGTCCAGCCCGACATGCTAACCTGAAAAATATAATTTTGGGGGCTGAGCGATAATCAACGTGCTCATCAATATTCCATACTATGTAATTTTTTATGATAGAAACAAATATAGATGACATTGGCATATATATAAATAAACTGTAATACTCATATTGCAGACTCTCGGACACTGGTCGGTATTTGTGTGCACACTCTGGGGGTCGCCTCCAACGGAAGCGGGATGGGTATGCTCACCACCATCTAGGTGAATAGACTAGAACGGGTACGCTCACCACCATTCAGTCATAAATATCTAGGACGTGTACGCTCACCACCATCCAACTTACAATCTCAATATAAAATACCTCAACCATAAATACTTTGCGTTTATTAAGAATTAGAACATAGCATGGAAAATTTCCACCTTTTTAACTTACTGGACTTGGATGATATGAATGCACGTGCGTCTGTGTGAGAGCTCAACTCCTCTTAATCTGAATTTTAATTATTATGTCTTATTATTAAGGTCTTGATTAACAGACAAAGAGCATGACAATAAAGCAGATGAAAGCACATAAAATGTAAGTAAAAGCCCAGCCAGAGAAATGAATGCAACTCACGGCCAAATCGAACAACAATGCACCTCTATATTGTATTTCAAACTCAATTTGAATGGTATTATAAACTTTAACTTACGCACTCTACAAAATAAATCACATAGTTTTTGCATGCTTAACACACATAGTCAACTATTCAGGCATTAATCATGGCACCAAAATACTATGTACAACATAGGTGCATGTATTTCTCACCTTCTGCTTTTCTTAAGTTCTTAAAACACATATAAAAGCCTATAACCAAAATTAAAAGCACTGACATTTGCACATACTCAGTACAATATTCATACAACATCGACTCAGCTACGCCTTTGAAATAAGGCCAACAAAGCAACCTACATCCATGCATTCGTGCCTCCTCTTTTCTTCTTTCCTTTTTCTCTTCAGTTTAACCAATATAACAAGACTTAAATACTAAGCATCTACTTCTGCAATTAGGCATAAAATATGCCACAACAACCAATATGATACAATAGCATTTGCTAGCGTTGCTAGTGTTGGGATTCTAGGCTGTCTTCAGACTGTCCTCTCATTTTATTCAGCTTTTGGTTGCTTTTTATTCTCCCGTTAGGAGCTTTGTATTTTTATTTGCACATTTGTGCCCTTGGTTTTTTAATAGATCCTCTATCGTTTCGGCAAAAAAAAAGATACAATAGCATAAAAATCAACACATAATAATGCCTTCTCTTTTTTTTTTTTAACATACAACTTATACTAAAGATGAAAAAAACTGAGATAATATGCTCTAATTATACTTCATTTACAACATTATAATCAACTACATATCAGCATAAAACAGGGCAAAGAAGGATACCTAAACATGCACATAAACATCAGAAGATTTCATCTCATTTCTCCTTCCTTTCTCTAAGTTAAAACATGCCAATTCTATAATAAAACGAAAAATAACCAAATTATAAGCTCGACCGGCACGGCAGGGGAGGTCGACGTTTCTCCCCCGTCCGAGGTCGGCCACGCGAGTCGTGGAGCACGCTTCACCACTCTCCCTGGACATCCTGCAGGAGGCCGTCCCCGCGAAAT